AAGAGTCCTCTTCTGGTCTTCCCAGACTATGTGCTCAACCTTGCCCCAAAACGAAGAAACGGCGCCACTTAAAACTTTCGCTTGCTGCCTCCCCATACGCTCCAGCTCTTCTTGGCGCTGATCCCGTCGTTTCGCGTGATTTTCCACATGGCGTTTGCACAAGCCTGCAGATGTAGCAAACAGTAGCTGCAGCATCGGGCTTTCTACTCTGCTGCTGCTGCTGTCAACGTAAAAGGAATAGCAGCGCCGGCACCATACAGCATCGCTTGAAGAAACAGTAGTTGAAAGAAGCTGCAGCTACACCAAAATCAGGCGAGGGAGTCTGGAAAGACACTTCAGTCTCAGAAATTTACCTGCGAAGTTCCGAAAGCCCTTCCTTTTCTCTTTATGCTCGTCGCTGACCAGGTCCTGAAACGTTGCCATTTCGGACATAATGGTGTCCCCGTGAAGGGGCAGCTGCTGTTGCTGCTGTAGCACAGCAGCAACATCAGCTCCTGCAGCAGCAGCAGAAACTGCAGCCTCCAAGCACGGTGCGCCGCACAGACACTTGGGAGGGTCCTTCTGCTGCTGCAAAGGGGCGCCTTTCCCCATAAGCAAGTGAACTCGGCTCAGCTCCTGCTGCAGCCTCTGTAGCTCGGACACTACAGCTGCCTCCTTCTCCCCCGCCTCTGTGACATATCTTCCTCCAAGACGACGCAAAAAAGCACGCATGTCTGTCTTCCTGGGGTGCAGTGCAGCAGCAGCAGCAGCAGAGCCTGAAAGAGGGGCCGGCGGCTCGTCGGTAGCATCGGGGGCCACCTGTCGATCCCCAAGGGGAGGCGCCACCTTCTCACTAGTATCTACAACTATATCATGCCAATATCTTTTGCTCTTCTGCTGAACCTGCTGTGGTTCGTGCGCTTGTGGAAGCTGCTGCTGCTCCTGGGGAAGCCCATGGGATTCCACAGAAACTGGGGGGTTGACAATCTGTTCCACATGCTGCTGATGCTGCTGCTGAAGTGCTTGCATTTGCTGCTGTTCCTGCTGCTGCAGTGCAGCGTGCTGGTGGAGCAGCTGCCGCTGCTGCTGCATTTTCTGCTGTTGCCGCATCTGCTGCTGGATGTGCATCTGCTGCTGCATCTGCAAATGGTGTTGCTGGTGTTGCGTATTTTGCTGCATCTGCTGTTGCTCTTGCAGCTGTTGCAGAAACAAAAGTGATTGGTCATTCTGCAGGACAGCTTCCTGAGGAGGTCTGGCCGCCGGGAACCCATACTGGTGCTGCAGTTGTTGCTGTAGTTGCCGCTGGAGTTGTTGCTGCTGCAGTTGCTGCTGCTGCAGCCGTTGCTGCTGCAGGTGCTGCTGCCACAAAGCCTGTGTTTCTGCACTCCCCGATAAGTGCTGTTGGTTCTGCTGCGGCTGCTGCATGGCTCCACTGTGCGGCCAGCCGCTGGCCCTCTGAAGACAGCAGCATGCGGCGTCGAGGGCCCTGTGCCCTTAGCTCTTATTGAGCGGAATGCTTCTCTCCAAAAATTTTTTGGGAGTCACTTAGCGGTTAAAAAAAGACCTGATATAATGAACGTTCAATCGGCGGAGGGGCTGTCCTGACAACGGAGAGCAGGGCGCCCTAAGGGAATACTCTTTTAACAAGATTGCGTTCGAAATTCCCAGAAAAAAGAAAGCCGAGCTCTCCTGCAGCAAAATAAGGCTTCAAAGACTTAGGACTGTAGAAGGGTTTGTGTGGAGCTCGGCTATCATCTTGGGGACACTGTCTGGTCACGACAGTTATGACAGACTGGAGTAGAGACGCAGAAGTTGCATTAATCGCGCAAATAAAGACATTGCTTATTAGATCTATTGTAACAATTGCGAGCTTCCGAGGCTTTCCGTGGGGCAGTGGCCCGCCTGGTGTAGTGCTGGGCACTACAGTGCTTAGGGACATGCTCAATATTAATGGCAAAGGGATCTAATAGCGCGACATTCCAGTTGTATGTGTACATTATAGAGACGGGTGAGCCCGATAAAGGCCCATGAGCAGATGGCCTAGCTGCAGGGCCAGGGTTGGGGCTGAATGTTCCATTCTGCATCACAGGGGCGCACTGGGGAAAAGCTAGTTCCGTTTGGAGGTACAGGAAGTCATGGCCTTCTTTAACATTGTGCTAGCCTTTAAAATCTGCATTTAGATGTACGTAGTATTCTGCCTAGAGGCGCTCCGAAGTTAGCTGCTCTTAATGACACGTATTAGGGCTAGGCAGACGCAGCTAACTTGAATAAGGGCTTTTGCGGGAATTTTTCAGCGGCGTATTTGACACTTTAGTCAATTTAGATCTACCCGGTGGAGCAACAAGCTGGGACGGAGCAAGACATGCACGTTCAGCTGTACAACGGGAGAGCAATAGATTAGGATAGGACCGGGCCCTTGAACTGCAAGCGACATAGCTACGATAACAGAAGCCGAAACAATCTTGTGTCAAAAACGACTCCCAAATCATCCTTTTAGCTAGGCACACTGGGCGCCAGAAGAGGTAGATATGGAGCAGCAGAGATAATGGTGACCTCGACTAGAGCAAGGGCTCGTCTGCTCAGTGTCGTGGCAGCGACCGGCAAACAACGGGATTATCCGGGCAATTTCAGCAAGCGGAAATTATTCGCTTAAAATCGGAAACAGCTGGAAACATGGTGACGTTGCGAATCAGTCACAGAACATTAGCAAGCCACTTTGAGCAACCGGGAAGTTTCTACCTAGTTCCTTAAGCAACTCATACAAAGATAAGTTCCTGGAAGTAGAACGCCAGATGGCCGTCTGTCGCGCTTATCTTGTTCATCAGCCACTACTCAGGACGAGAATAGGCTCCTTGTGGATACGAGAACTACCTAATATCTGGGTTGTGCATATGTGGGGGTGCTTAAGATCAACATGGGCGGACTCTTCATAGCTAAAAAGTTTTCAATGCCTCAAACACACCCAGATAAAACGGCGAACGAAAAGCAGTTAAAGAATTTGTCGAAGCTCCTCTTAAGCACTGTAGTCTCATTCAGGTATATGTTTCCAGCACCTAGGAGCAGCACTCCATGACCCTATTAACTTGGCGTTTCTTCCTCATACCAGTACTGCTTGAGTTTGTCTTGACGTCGACTCTGTGTAGTTGTTAACTTGCACAGTTTTCAGATTACTCCAGAATTTACAAGCTGTCAAACTTTCTGACCAAAACCATTGAACACTCACACTTAATCCTACGATAAAGCAGCTGTAGATTAAGCTAGAACCACAAGTTCGAATCGTTGTGCTGGCACTGCGCGTGTAGTCCTCTCACAATACCCCTATTGGTGCTCGCAGACATTCGCCAAATGCTTCCTATTACACCTTTCTGAGCACAGAATATTGTGCTTCGAATTTCTATTACCGAGCCTCTGCATTACCCGTTTTCTTTTGAGAAACGGCCCTCCTTCTAGCAAGAAGCGCGTCCTCGATTGCCTGGACTACAGAAGCCTCCGCTTACACGTTGCCTCTCCGCTCTCTTCTCTTTTCGTTGCCGGCGTCATTGTTGGGAAAGGCTTTCATGGGAATCACTGTTTTACAGAAGTTCTGGCGTGCGTCCGTGTATCGCAGTCATCCTTGTCAGGCGTAGAGCCGTCCCCCCAAGGCCAAGGACAACTCTCTAACCTAACTCTAGCCGGATCCTGATTTTAATAATATACTTTTCTCAGTAATCTTTCAGACCCTGCGAATAGTGACCCCCGTCACCCCACGTCGCTAGCCAATTCCCGGAATCCCAGCCTCTTACTGTAGTCAGCTATTGCAGTTGCAGCTGCCATTTGGGGCACTCAAAACTGTGCCTTACAAGAAGCTACAACGAGGACTCAAAATAGAGGCAGCTCATGGGTTAATGCAGACAAGGAAATACCGTATGTGGCCCTTGAAGCAGTGCCATGCGCGCGCAGACAAGCCTCTGCTATGGAACGCTGGAGGCGTTATTCCAGGGCAACAACCGCAGCCCCTCTTGCTGGAATTCTACAAGCGACCAGCACGAAGCATGTTCAATAAATAGGGCTGCTCTAATGTTCTAGGGGGTGAAAGTGGCTCACACTGATACTGGTGAGCGGCGAAGCGGCGAAGTCTCTGAATCCTCTTAAAGAGCTGCCCCGCTGAGACCACAAACTGCTACCCAGCTATCCTAGACTGGTGCCCTTGGCCCTCTTAGTCTCCAGCTCCTTTTTCTGAGCAGACTCTCCCGAGCTTCTTAATTTCCAGTTGCGCAAACCCCTGATTAGCCCCTAGCATTGCACAGAGCAGTATCCAAATTCTCATACAGGAAAGAACTTTTCGTGAAAGTAGCCTAACTGCTACGAGAGACATGGCAACACGTAGCATGGCGCCTTCATGGAATCTACAAAAGCGCAAACTAGGGACCAAAAGGCCCCCCAGTCTACAAAACGCTCTTGACAGGCGGTCCCTGCCATCTAATTCAAAAGCAAAGATGATTAATGACACAGATAAGAATAAACAGAGGGCTATTCCAGAAATGCTGACGGCCCATTCGTTAGCAGCAACCGGTTTGACCAGGGGCCCCCCATAAGTCGCTGAGCTGAGGTTTGGAGGGCCCCGCGAGCGAAATGTGAAATTTCTCATTTTCGAGTGCTTACGTTTGAGAAATTAGTGTCAAAAATAGCATATTCCTCATGAAGGCAGTCACTTCTCTCCGTGCGGCCGACGTGCTGCACTAAGGGCTTTGCAGCAAGACGCTGAATTTCTCCAGAGGGCCCCCCAGGAGGCCTCTGTTGGTTGCCAACTGGCTGAGCAAGTCTCCACGGAACTTGCTAGCTAGCAGCCACAAGCAGCCTTGCCTGTGGGCCCCTAGTTGTCCACGGACTTCCGCTCGCTGCCGAACACCTGCCGCCTTTCCTACAGTGTGCATACATCACTGAGTCCTTCGCGGGCCCCCAGGCCTAGAGGCCGGCTTGGCTGAACCTGGCGGGCCCATAGGTTTGTTCTTCATGGCCCTTTTGGCATCTCCCTGGGTAAAATGAAGGTCGTCGAGTTTCGCCTCGTCCTTCCCCTAACTCCAGAGGTATTTTCAACCATGCTCCGCATGTAGAGGCCCCCTAGAGACCTATCTTAAGAATTTCAGCGTATAATTTCTCTAGAGAGCCTCCGTTAAAGGCGTTCTAAGGTGACTTGATGCGGCAACTTCAGACAGCAGGCCCAAAGAATGTCTTGGGGGACCCTGCATTTGCTCTGTCACTGGGATTTTCGCCGTCCTCGAAATTGATGGCGCTGTTGCTCCCCCCTCTGGTGATGATATTTCTGCTTTTTTGCTGCCGTTACTAATGTCACTGCCTTTCTTCTGCTGCGGCTACAGGAGTACCGGCGCTGTCAGATATTTCTGGTGGCGCTGGCGGCGCTGGAGACTGCGGAGGCGCAGAAAGCGACAGGGGGACCCCCAAAGGCCCCCATGATAGAAGTACTTGCAACCGAAGACTACAACAATAATGGCGAACAGGGGCAATACACACACAAGCGCTTTGACCTTGCGGAGTAGGGCAAACCCTGAACCTTAAGTCCACGTAGAAGTTTCATTAGAACCGTTCAGCTTCTCAGGGATCGTTCAAATTGCAGAGTGACTCGCTCGAGACTAAAGGACGTGGAAGCACATGTAGGGCAAAAGAGTGAGCCGAGGACACGGTTCACTGCTTGGCGGCAGGGTTTGGGTTCGCCAGTCCACACCTTGGGTGTGCTATTCACGGCGTTTGCGCAGGAAGTTGCCAGGATGGCTTCTTAAATTTGTGGATAGAGGGAGTTGCACCTTTGACGAAAAGTCGTGAGTTTAAGTTTTATACATTACAGCTTTGGAGTTGAACATTTCGTGTGTACAAATGGTTTCTTGCAATTTGATGCTTGAGCTTTGCGCACTGGACTTGCAAAATGAAGCTCTGAATATGAGGGTTTCTTTTTGCTCAGATGGAATGCTTATCCCCGTCTTCGCACGCAATATGAGGTAGGGAGGTAAACATATAGTCTCCTGTCGACATATCTGATGGTAGAATGCAGGGTCTAGCATCTCGAGTTTCGGCTTTTGCGCGCAGTCGGAGAAGTTCTCGCGGGCAAAGATTTCGATCACGAGTAACCATCTAGTGGGTGTCTGCACGGACGATAATGTAAGCCCCTTTTGCTGCTGCTACTGCTGGTGATGCTGCTGCTACCGCTTATGCAACTCCTGGGAAGCGTGTAATCCTTTTGTGGGAAGCTGCTGATGTATCTTCTTTGGCAACCGCGGCGATCGCGGTACCCTATGTGGAGTATCTGTGAAAGATATATAGCGTTTGAGTTGTATGAGTTGCGTGTCCTGTTCTTGCTTAGGCCACTGACCTTCCTCCTGAAGCTTTGCGGATGAGGAAGGTCGACCTCATTGATATCGTCAATGATAGAGGGGTATGTTGGAATTAGGGGATTCGCAGGGGGGCCTGCTGGGCTGTGCAGCGGTAGTCCCCGGGATGTCTTATGCACAGTCCGGGGTAGCCGTTTGAAGTGTCATTTTGGCTCTATTGGGTCCCTGTGGCCCATGCTGGACTGGGGGAGCTCTCTCTGGCTTTTTGTGCGTTATCGTGCCTTGTGGTCTGCACGTCGCCCTTCATATCATTTCTCCTACTACTACTTGCAGTCTGTTCCATGTGTTTATTGCAATGCTCACTCGGGTGCCTGTTGTACATTTTTCCACCTACGCCGGCCTGTCGAGGTTTATCCCGATAGTTCAGTATACAGTAATTGTATCTGCTCTCCTGTTTTTGCAGTCAGTATATTTGTACGTAGTGGGCAGGCTTTTCCTGTTTCAATGCTCCATGGATGCTCAGTTCCACCATATTTCTCTCCCGTTCCATTTATTCAAACATTCATTGTATTTGCAATATGCTAAGATTTTGGTGTTTTCTGTTCGGGCCTCCCAATTCAGGGCAGTGCGTCCGACGAATTTCGAAAGTGGAAATCTGAAAAAGCGCAGTTCGGTCCTTTGCGCTCCGACTGGATTCAGAATGTCCCTTTAGTGCCGCCTAAGATCCGCAGAGCACCTCGGAGGCCCAGGGGAGTCTCTAGAAGGGCTTCACAGCCTCCGAATGCCCCTGACAGTCGTGCAGGCACAGTGGACGACCCACGAGAGCGTCCACAGGCCAACACGGAGCCCTCCAGTAGCTCTGGGGGCTCTCTTGTCACGTTATCTGGCGAATTACATGCCTCTGAGGGAACTTCTGCGGTGTCTGAGGCATGTTTTTCTGAGGAGGGACCAGCGCATTCAGAGGAACAGAGTTCATTGGTAGCGCACCCGCCTGTGGCGGATCTGGTGCCAGCATATCCCCTGATGACTTGCTACAAGTGCTTTCAAATTGACTTCCCCTACTTCGGCATTATATCGGGAAAGATAGAAGGATGGGTGGTGGCAGCAATGCGAGAGCAACTGCTACACTACCACAGACGCGCAGTTGCGTGCATCGATAAGTGGTAAGTACAAGCAGCACATTTTTGACGGGTGCAGAAAAAGCGGAGCGGGGGGCGAGAATTGGGAGTAGCGAAAATATGCGCAGCTGCTGGGGCCCTGTGCAGCTGGAAACCGTGCTATTGAGGGCCTCGTGTTTAGGTTCCGCAAATTTGGGCTCGATTTCTCAGGTATGACTTGTCTTTGGAAGAAGTCCGTGCCTTCGAGGAAGACGTCAGGGAACAGCTAGCTGTCCTGGCCTCTCTCTCCCGCAATGCCACGGCGGCCTCCACTGGAAGCGCACAAGCACCGGAGCACGAACTTAGCGGCCGTCCAAGAAGCCTTTTAGCAAGCCCCTTACCAGAGTCGGTGGATGGCGCGGGAGAAGCTGGTGCCGATACTTCAGATTCTGACGAGAGCGCATCTGGCGTGGCAGGTCGAGGTGAAGGAGCCCATCGAAGATGCCTGGAAGTCGTAGAAGAGGCCCTAGACGACTGGGATGTCTATCAGGGCTACAGTTTGTTGCCATTTCGGTTGTCCCCACGAAGTGTTTCTTTGCTGCAGAAGCTGCAGCAAAGTATCCCTAATGTTTCAAAGTTACCGCAGCAAGACCAGCAGTATCAGCAATGGAAAGCGCGAAGCTTCTGTGACAGTCCAGCGGGATCCCCCCCGCCCGTGAAGCGAGACAGTCCGATACGGCACGGATACTTGGACAAATTAGGTATGTTGAGAACCACGCTGTAGCTTCGGGGTGTAAGGCCTTCTCTCGTGGTGGGGCTGTTTCCTCTGCCTCTTTTCTGCTGCGGGTGCAGCAACCCTTGCGACTGCCGCTGTTGAAAATGTTTAGGCTATGCCAAGCCGTTCGACGCTGCCGATGCTGTCGCGCTGGGATGCCAGACTTTTGCTGCTGAAGCAGCATTCTTCATATTGCTAATATTGCCACTGCAGGTGATGGTCTGTGGGGCAGCCGATGGAATTTGCGTTATTTTTTGCTTCGGGGAAACCGACTTCAGTACTTCGACGACCCCAGGGACCCCAGGGCCAAACAGTCTTTCGTCCTCACAGGCGCTAAGGTCTTCCGCTGCTCTTAATTCTGTTGTTGCTCCATTCAATATCACTGTTGCCAATATATCTGCTTGGTTGCAACTTAGTGGCATTTTACTGCTGGGGTTGATGCATGCGACCTACTTGCCTCTTCGGAAATTCCTGTTGATGGTGTCGCTGTCGCAGCTACCACAGTTGCAGCTGCTACTGCTGCCAGAACGAGACAGTTATTGCTAGTGAATAAGTATTTAGGGTTAGGGCTCCAGGATTCACGGTTTATGCTTAGGTTGGCTGGGCCACTGATTTAGGAGAGAAGCCATTCGCCTTCTACGTGGAGACTCTTTCAAGAAAACGCCTTACACTCAGGTTTGCTTGTGAGGGTTCAGGGAGTGCTAGCTCGAATGCAGTATTGGAGGTGCATTGTCGATCGTTTACAGTATTGGTTTGATTTACCGATATGTGTTGTCTCAGCGGCGCCAGCGAGGAAGAATCTCGCGCTTGGCTAATGACACTTCATCAAGCTGCATCAACAGGGGATAGCAGCAATGCTAGCAAGTATATGGCTGGTCAGCCTACGGATTTGAAAGCTCTGCACTCCTTGGCAACCCCAGGACGGCCCTTCAACTTATCAGAAGTGCTTTTTCGCCACCCCTCAGGGGAACCTGTGAACAATGATGAGCTTTCCTCCTTGGCAGTTAGGATGACCTCCAATGCGGCCTCTCAAGCTGAGCCGGTGGCTTCTTCTCAACCTGCGGAGTCGCCCTTAGAGCAAGCTGCAGCTGGGGCACCGTCTGCTGCTGCTTCAGCTGCTTGCACTGCTGCACAAGACCCTGTTAGCCAGAGGTACTCTTCAGGCGCCATGGCTCACGTAGACTTCTTTTTTGCCGTCCTGGGTGTGTCTTATTTTTGGTACAGGGCAGATGGTTGACTGTGTGATTGATCCCTGTGCTGTTATGACTGTTGCTGCTGCTGCTGCCTCTGATGTTCTTGTCGGTGCTGTTGCTGCTCATGCTACAGGGGCAGCAACGGCCGTCTTGTGTCGGACAATAACAATGACAAGAAGGTAATATATTCGCATTCTGTTGTTGCTGCCCTCTTGAAGGCATCCAATATTGCTTAGGGCCCTTTGGGCACTTTTTAAGGACCTCGCAGGGTCCCACTTAAAGGCCAACTTTGGAGATGCTGGGAGCACTTACTTCCAGAAACTCTTGTGCTGGTTTTCATTTCCCGTGGGAGACCTGCTCCTGGCCCTGTGCTTTATTCATGTTGCAGCAACAAGTAACGGAGAAGCTGCAGCAGCAAGTGTCCGGAATGAAGGTGGGAAACCGAACCTGTAGCTGATGCTTCCGCCGCTGTATTTGCCGTTACTACTGCCCTCAAGCCAAGTATTAAGTTTCGTGCTATTGTTGCTCGTAGCCTCTATCTGTCTGCCAGTGATTGCGTCTCCGGTTGCATCTTTTGCTGCTGCAGGGGCCCCTGAAAGAGGCCCTTGCGAGTCTAATGAAGCGGTGCCCTTGGAGCCGGTGCTTCGTAGGAAGGGGCGTAGCAGCTCCGCATATGGCTTTTATGGGAGCATGCGCGGCAAAAGATGGCCTTGATGTGCAGCAGCAGGCACGGGGATCGCAGCAGATGGGGGCCCTAAAGCGTTCTCTCTCGAACATCCTTGAAGAGGCAGAAGGGGTTGGATGCAGACCATCTCTTTCTGCTGAAGGTATTGCGCTGACTGCGTGCTGTAGAATTTGTAGCTGTCCGAAAATCTAGACATTAGTGCTTAACAGTTACGATTCTGCTTGTGTGTGCAGCTTGTGCGGTGGGGGCCCTCGTCGTTTCCTTGCTGCTGGTGGTGCTGTCCGCTGCTTGTGCGGCATGCTGCTTCTCAAGTCTTCTGCTTCTTATGTGGCGTATGGTGGGTGGACGCTTCGGGCCCCTGGGACTATTCAAACAGATCTTGAACGCCGCTTCCCCCACAGGCATATTAGGTTGGAGTGATTCTCCAGGCAGGGCTAATGGGGGGCGTTCGTGGTACTGGGGGGCCATTCTCACACTGTTTGAGGCATTCAGGGCCGCAGCAGCAGCTACTGTTGCTGCTTTGCTTCTCTGGGGCGCCCTGTATATTTTATTTATCTTCTTCTGGAGCAAAGCCCTCCAGAGGAAACGGGAATCCCCTGCAGCGAGGGCGCCTCCCCTACTGAAGGCTGCGTGCCTAGCAGAAGGGCCCCCAGAGTCTGTCTTGTTGTGTGCGCTTCCCCCAGAAGCCAAGAGTAAGCATCAACTTCTACGTGGGTGCTGCACCTGAAAAAGGACCTAGGCAGGCTTCGTAGGGCCTCTATTCTAGCCTCCCGTGGCCAAGGCCCTCCCATTCTTGGCCCGCTGTCAGTTCTCATTGCAAGCAAAGGCCGAAAGGCGCCTTCACCGGGCTTACTTTTTTCACTATATGAGATGTGCATGCTTGTGCTGCAGCAGTAGAATGGGTGCCCCCCGATCCCTCGGCGTTGGGTGCAGGGGGCCCCTTCTTAATGGAGGATGTCGAGACTCTCAGGCCCCTGGACCTGCTCCTAAGTGACCCGAGAACTGTTTCTTCTCTGTGCTGGTGGGCACTTCGTCGAGAGGTCCCCAGGCTGTCAGACTTTCTTGCTTGGCTCTTAGCTCCCCTTATCCAGCAGCAGTTGCAAGAGCAGCGCCAGCACCAAGCGCCACAGCAGGAGCGGGGGCTGCAGCAGCAGAAAAGCGAGGAGCTCACAACAACAAACAAAGCTGTCGCAGCAGGGATGTTGCTGTTACAGTTGCTCGGGCGGCTGCTAGAGCACCTGATGCTAATTTGCTGCTGGGGCGGCATAGCTTTGGGAGGATTTCTGGGAGCCTTCCTAATCACATTTTTGGGCTCCCTCTGGGTGCCCCTACGCTTGCGTCGAGTATCTTGGTCTGCGTCTCTTGATGGTAACGGATATCTTCTTTTCTCCCAGCTGTCTCCATTGCCTGAAGAACGTCGGGAACTTCGTGGAAGCCTTCAAGACGATTCTGCGAGTTCCTTTGCAACAAAGTCTCTGTGGAAGGTGATCAAGAAGTGGGCCTTGATCCCTTTGAGATGCTGGCACCCCCAGGGCTGGGAGCCTTTGCCCCAAGGGGCCTCTCAAGAGACTTCCCATGGCGCTGGAGGCTTCGAGGCTCTCCTCGTTGTTCCTCTTCCTGCAGTTCCAAGTAACTCTTTGTCCACCGGCCTAGAGAAAGTGCAGCAGCTACAGCAGCAGCTTCAGAAGGAGTTGCAGCAGCAGCACTGGTGCTTGGCGTCTCTCCGGCTACAGAAGACGCCTGATGCTGATCGGGAAGGGCAAACGGAGAATCTCTGGGCCTCCCGTGATGCTGCTTCTGCCTGGGATGCCCGCTCCTGGAAAAGCGAAGCCATTCCGATGTTTAACAGCATGGCGTCTGAGGCCGCCTCAGAGTCTTCTGCATGCACTCACGCATGTGTTGTTGAAACCGACGAAAGCCCCTGTCTCGTCACTTGGGTAGGGGCACTTCGTTGGGGTACACGGAATGTCCCTCATTGGCTCGAGGGTTTGTTGACTCTCAGGCAGGCAGAAGCTGCCTTGGGATCACTTCTTTCCCACCTTCGAGCTCGCAGAGGCCTCCAGTCGGGGGGACCCCCGACATCTTACGGCGTTAGGGGGCCTTTGACACCTTCTCTTCATACTGTAGGTTATTCTTCCTAGCCACTCTTGCAAGACACCAACTAGCCTTTGGCAGCTGCTACTAACTACTAAGCGGTTACTTAGGCTCCGTGCTGAGTCTGTAGGAACGGTTTGCTCTTCTGGAAGGATCCCTTTGAAAGCTCTAATGTGGGAGCCTCTGGGGAAGCGCTTCTAGGAATGTCCCAAAACCCGTCTAAGTACCGTTAGATGCTTGCTGGGCTTTTTGTTTGGTTTGTGTAGGTCTACACAGAAGAGCCACCACTGGGGCCCTTCACTGCATGCACGGGCACAGAGAATGCCGGCATGAACCTTGTAGGGCCTCTCATGGAATTCTACAAGGCCCGCGGGGCCCTCAAAGGCTTCGAAGCAGAGTCTTTGGCCCGTCAGCGGGCGAAGCAAAAGTACAAGGACACTGCAAGCAAGTGAGGTCCCCGAACTGGCGAAAGAGTTCCTTTGGAAAGCCGCAAATAGTCAGACTTGCACCTACTACGGAAAAGCCAGAAGGTTTTAAGGGTCTGTCGATGTGATGTTGCTGTTCTAAGGCCATACCCATTGGCCGGCTGGAGGAAATGTGCCTGGGAGGGCCTAATGCAGGAAGAGTCCCTAGAGCTCGATAAACAGCGGTGCCTTCTCATGAAGTTGCTGCGAAGGCAGCGTGCAGATATCCCCAGAGGTATCATCACCCCCTAATTAATCGTAGTCTAGCCCTTCCGGTTTGAAACCCTAGATCGTAAGCCTCTAGGGCTTGCTCCTTCTGTGCAGTGCCTCGTGTATTTATGGCTGCTTCCAGCAGAGGAGTTATGACATGGCTAAATGCTTGAGTATTAGGCCTAGGCGCAGGTGACTGAAGATCAAACTTCACAGTTTAGGTGCTTCGCAGGTCCACAGCTCCCTCCAAATGGCCCTCTTCCTATAGGGCTGCTTCGGGCTGCCTCGCTGCTATTGCTGCTACCGGATTGCATGGCACAGGGGCCTCCTATCCTCAAGAAAGTCTTTGCTGGAGGCCCGCTAGAAAAATTTAAGGCAACATTGGCATTCGCTGTGTCGATTTTGCACAGAGGTCTGTCTCTGATTATCGTGTTGCTGTCCTTGTGGTTGTTGTAGCCGCCTCTGCTGAGGCCACTTCTCTTTCGGTACTACGATTCCAGAAGTGCAAACCCAGCAGCAGCGGGTTTCTTTATAATGAGCCGATTCCACTTCAGCAGTCGCGCTGCTCAGTGCGTTGAGAGCCTTGCGTGGCACCTATTTCCAGCTTTTCGGCATTGTAGGCCAGGGTTAGGAATGGCATTGAAGTTTTAAAGTTTCTGTGTGAATCTTCAGGATGCTGGCAGGCCCCACCTCTGGCAGCCTACTTAGGAGAGACATTTCAGGGCCATCTGCAAGAGCCAGCAGGAACTCCCCGTGGCCAATTGGGGGCTTCTCAGGGAGGCTGGCTAGTTTACGTGGAGCAGACGGGCGTGGGGCCTCCAAGTACCCTTTTTTCGCTCTCTAGCCCGGGGTCTATGGCGCAGGTTTGGGGTCATCTATCTTTCCTTGTAAACTATCAGGTATGGAAGATCTTTAAAAGAGCCCCACATATACAAGGCCACTAAGGAGAGTACTGCGGAACCAAGGTAGAGGGTCATCATTTTTGCCTACCTTCGTTCATTGACTGAGAGTGCCTCGCATTCTTACCGTATCTTGAGGAAGCCCATCTGTGTATTTTTGCTTGTGGTTTTGCTGATCAGCCTGGACGGTGTGTAGTTACACTTAAAGGCAAAATAAACGTCTGTTTCTCTAAAGGGGAGATATTCTCGTTCTCACTGCCTGAACTGCACATTGAGGGTCTTTTGTGGGGTCGGCGCCACTTTTATTGGCAAGGGCCCCTTCATGTGGAGGGGCCAGACGTATGCTGCACCGTTATTGTGGCTGGGGATGCCCAACAGGGCCCCTATGGAGGTGCCTTTCGCGATGAGCTCTTCGGCCAGGTGCTGCAGAAGGATTCTACGCACGATAAAGGCACGAAGAGGCCCGAGTGTCCCCTGGAGACATTGGCAACTGTCACTGGGTCCTATACAGATAAGCTGTTTTGGAATGATGAAGAGTCAGTCTGCTGGTGTTGCTGCTGGTGCTGCTACGAACGCGCGAATATGTGTGGTTTAGCTGTTTCTGCTTTCAGGGATCCGTATTCTCTTTCTTTCATGCTTTTTGCTGGTTCTTAGGAATGTTTCTCAAAAAGCAGCTTCGTTTAGTTTTCGTTTTTCTCTTCAGGATTTGGAGTGTATACACCGCTCAGACCCTTCACCTCTTCGCAGTGCCAGACGAGGAGGCTCTTCCCATAGACAGCAGGTCAGACCCTAACGCCCTTGTGCCATTCGCCCACTTCACCACTTGCCCAATTAGCTAGCGAGAATAGGATTCCACTGACCCGACGGGGCTCTATAGGTTTTCTGGGGTCCACCTCCTGCCCTCTCCATATCAGAAGGAACTGTGAAGCTCCCACCGCCGGGCGCTGTTGACGTCTCAGATTGCCTTTATTGTTGAATCTTTGATGCTCGCGTGCACGTCACCGCTGTGACTCTATTCAGATTTAGGGCTGACAGCTTGCTGTTGTCTTTGGGGGATGAAGACGCAGCAGACAAAGTGAGACGAAAACAGTTGGCCATCGAGGCCTCGGACATGTAAGGAGGAAGAAACTCAGGAGGAAACTCGGGGGAAAGTCTGGGGGCTTATCGTCTCTCTTTTGCTTCGCATTTATCGCTTCACGTGAATGTTCGGACTTCGTGCTTGTTTGTTGTTGGTTCTTCCACATCGTTTTGTTCGTGCCGCATGGCCCCTACTCCTACGGAGCATCATGCGTGTACTAGCTTTCCTGTCCTCGTTGTCTTATATGCGTCTAGCTGTTCGCTTTTTCTGCATTGTCCCGTTGTATTCTCTACTATATAATTTATTTGCGCGTTGACCCCTTTCGTGTATCAGTATATCACTTCGGTTGCCTCTTCGATCAATTTTCGCATGGCTGTGTGCCAACTTGTGTGTGTTTTCTGTATGTGAATGTTAACATCTATTTCTTATTTGCAGTTTCTTATTCAGTATCGCTGTTCGTCTGTTTTCTTTGTTCTTTGAACAGTCTGTGCTCCCACTTTTTCAAGCTTTCCGTGTTGGGTCTCGGTTTCGTCCCTTGCTGCTTTGCAGGGCCCAGCAGGCGCGTTTTCTGCGCCAGCAGTCCGAAGGGCTCGCCACAAGTCCGGGAGGCCCTACTGATTCAAGGGATCCATTTGGGGTTCCTTTAACAGCCCACTCAGAAGGGTGTCCCGGACCCCAAAAGCCGTCCCCAGGGGACACTCAGTAGATAGTCCCGTGGGGCTCTCAGGGACATAGACTCCAGGCTTGGGGGTCCCCCAGTCTAATTTGTACTCCCAAGTTTGTATTTTAGGCCGTAAAGAAGCCGCCAAAAATGTTCCGCGAAAATCCAGGGTTGTAGTGTTCCCCTGCGGAGTTAACATGCTCCTCAGCGCAGCATGGAAAAGTGCAGCAGCAGCAGCATTAGACACAACAGGAGGAACAGGAAGTATTAGCAATAAGACGAAAGTAGCAAGAGTAGCAACTTGAGGAGAGTTCAACGGTGGCGGCACGGTGCAGTAACAGCAACGTCTGTGCAGCAGCAAATATAAGTGGCCTAGCAACACCACTAATGGCGATAGGAGCATAAAGACCCTTTAGAAGCACTTGTAGGGAACAGTATGTGTATCTAACTTGGGGTTGATAGATCTGGCCGCACGCAATACGCAACGATTCGGGGTGCTCCCAACGCATCTTCAGTAGGGGCTTCTTTTAGGGGCCTCTGGCTTAGGCGGCGGGTACCCCTTATAGGGTCAAAGGGCCCCTTATCTGTTATAGTAGGGTTGAGAAAGACGCAGGGAAGAAAAACAGGCAAGTGAACACATACAATGACGCTACAAATGAAAGATAGACAAAAGAGTTCAAGCCAAAATCGAGGAGGTACGGGAACAGGGTGACGCGAGCTGCCAAAGAGAAACAAAAGGACGGCGAAATGAAGGCAGAACCGTCAAGCAACAAAGAGAGGTAGCAAATTTCGCCAAGGAAGCATTAAAGGCCTTAGGGACAGCTTTCCAATTAAGGAAATAAATTGAGACAACGCTAAGCGAGGGATAGGGCACGCGAAGGGAATGGGTTTATAAACAAGCTTGAAGGCATAAAGCGGCGCCAAAAGGTGAGCGTGAGCACGAAAGGGAGCTAAATGTGGTGGAGAGAGGTGGGAAGAAACAATTAGAGACGGGGCCTCTGGCAAACAGGTAGCTTGGGCTGCGTCTGCCTGTCGTTGTTTGCAATTGTGCCTTCGTCTGTCCGTGTTGCTGTCATTAACTGCAGCTACTTATCTATACCTGCGTTCGCCATTTGCTGTTTCTATCTCTTCTTATTTTTGTTTCCTGCTTCTGTACTCAGCTGTGTCTGATCCTGTCTGCCTTTTCTTTCTGCCGTTGTGCTTATTTCTGTCTTTGTCTGCAGCTGTGATTTTTTTATCGCTTTGCCTGCGTCTCTGCCAGCCTGCTTTCCTCTTCGTGTCTGCATCCTTTTGCCTGTCTACACGAGTCTTTTCGTGCTGTACTCCTTTCAGTCTTGTAGTACCGCCCTATTTACATTTCTTTACGCTAAATAGGAGGCTTAGCATAGGAAACAGAAGCGCCTGCGAACTTTGTGTCCGAATGCCCAAAGCATGACTCCCGTATCTCATAGGTTGTTAATACAAAATAGCACGTCTACAGAACAGTTCATTTACAATCACAAGCCCCCAATGCCCGAAATTTGCCCTGTATTCTCAACCTTTATGTTTGGCTGCAAACATCCGAAGAAGACCCTTTTGGTGCGACTCTTCTAGCTCAGAGACGTTTGGAGTCAAGGCTCTCCGGCAGTAACTGTTGTTTTTTGTGGCCCACTGCTGCAGCAGAAAAATAGTTGCAGTCCAAATGCCCGCTTGTGAAAGCATATCGATCCGAGTTTTTCAAAAACGGCGCATTAGATCTTGAATGCTTAGAGGTCCGTCTTAGCATGCACCTTCACAAGTGTATTCCACTTGACGTGGAGAGGCCGACTGACGGGTGTGTAACTGCAGAAGCCAAAACTAATTATGAGCCTTGAACCGTAGTCGTACGCAGGTTCGGCTAGTGTGCAAGCGAGCAAAAATGCTTAAGCACATAGGGTCATTGCAAACGTGCAGCGCCACGGAAGGCCTTCAGCTTGTTGGTGGCTCTTTAAGGGCGTTAAGGGAAACTAGAACGGTCAAGGTCGTAGATGACCCTCACCAAGCACTCTTTCTGCGAGCGAAAGGAAGTTAGAGGCCCATACTGGACACTCTGGGACGCGCCGCCTAACTCAACCAAGGTACGCATAGTTGCTTAGTGATGAGCTCCGCTAAAATATAAAAGGGGGATCGCGACAAGAACTGCTTAAGCGGTCATGAGCAACTAACAAGAGCCCAAGTGCCGGCTAATAATGCCAGAAAAGAAATATGAGAGGGGATCAGAAGGTGTTTTTGGGGGCTTTACGGACGGGATAACCCTTGAGAAATGCAATGTCCTGCTGAGAAGTGCCCTGACGTACCGGGCAAACTTGAGGACACAGGGGCTTTCTGGGACTCAGAAACCTCTGAGAAAGAAACGCGATTACGCGGTCCCAGAGTCTGCTGAGTATCCATTGTATGCTTCCTTCCGTGGTGCTGTTCCTGCCTCCAGATTGTAGGTGACCTCAAGAGGCGGTGGTCCACTTGACCAGTGCCGCGAGCGCTCAGGGCTAAATTGCAGCTTGAAGTATGGAAAAGTACCTAGTTTAATTTCTTGACTTTTTTATACAACTAACGAAGTGTTATAATACATTCTCAGGGCCTCCCTTAGAGTTCCGATCACCTGGGTCAGCCGGGGGCCCCGGAGGCCCCAGGGGACCCGGGCCCCCCCTTGCTCGTTTTCTTCTCATGCAGGTTGCAATGCATACAGTGGATGTCGACATACTTTGAGATAAAAAAGGGAAAAGCTTCTCTCCCATTTTCTTCACAGTCACTGCTGCATCTCTGCTTTAGACAAAACACGGGGACTGTAGAAGGCTCATGAGGTCACCTATACAGTTGCCGTGAAGGAGGGTGTAAGGCTCAAAGCCTGAAGCTAAGAGTCATATAGCTGTGAAAAACATAGATAATGTGCAGGAAATGAAGAGGTAAAGGGAGTTAGCGGGAAGAACGAAAGACACAGCGCGGGTCAGCCATAGGCGAGTCTGGGCGGGCGGCGCCGGCGTGTACCAAACCTCCACGAGGAGAGAGGGACACGGAAAATTGCCGCAGTGCACCATTTATTTGCAACGAAAAGACAAGACAGGAGGAAACAGGCTACAATATTGCCGTGGACAACGACCGAGGGGCAGGACACATCGAGAGAAAACCAAACATACGAATTTGTGCAAGTATAAACACGCATAAAATGGAACGCTCAGAAGACAATTTTACATGAATAAGTGAAAAAACAGAAAGGCTGCTAAGCAGAGAGGGCAATGCACATACAAGTTTACCTGCAAATGGCTGAGCGAAGAACACAAAGGCAATAGCAGCAAATTGCCACAGGATGACAAAAAGGAGGAAGTGCAGTGGACAAGCACAGACAAATGCAAGGACAATTTTCATCCCTTACTCTTTTCTTCTTGCTCTCAAGACCCTACAAAAGTCCAGAAAGGAAAAGTCAACACACCGGCACGGTTGAATTCTAGTTCTCTAGGTAGAAGCCCCACTGATTGTAAACCAAAGCAACCCCGAAGAAAGAAAAATCAAACGCCTGGAAAAGCTTGAAACGGGGAGTTGAAAACGGAGGAAAGAGGGTACTGCGACAGATACTGAACTTGCGTCAGAATTCAAACCAAGAGAAGTGGAGATTAAAAGAAACGAAAACACAGGCCGTAGCGATCACTTCCCCCTCTTTCTACTTTCTTCGCTACAATGTGTGCCAGCCCGCACGTGCGTACTGTAATTCGAACTCGACCAGTAACATTTTTGCCGGTGGATTTGTTCTGCGTGGACGATGAGAAGGACACTATAGAGATCCGGTCCCCTTCTCGAGAAGAGGCGCTTGCCTTTCGGTTCGATAAAGTGCTCCACGATGTAAATCAGGAAACCGTCTACAAAGAATGCGTGCCCTCAATATTACAAGGGGCTGTGGACGGACTTAACGGAAGTGTTATGGCATATGGGCAGGTTGGTCTCTAATATCCACAAGAAATACCGCGTCTCAGAGCCGACGACTGAGCGACTAGCATTCCTTAAATCGCGTTTGAGGGTGTGTAATTTGTGGTTGTCAGACAGGCGCTGGGAAGACATACACCATGTTTGGCAGTAGCCACAGTTACGCGTCTCGCGGCATCATTCCACGCTTCATCTCCGACTTATTTGCACTCCTTGAAAAACAAACAGAGTTAGAGGCTTCCGTTTTTGTATCCTTCTGCGAAATCGACTCTGAGCTCCTTTTCGATCTTCTGGCCGACGGTGGACTCGACGGGCAGACAGGCACGGAGCTGCAGGTCAGTCAGTCACAAAACACAATTTCTGAGTCGACGGCACAAGTATTCGAAGCCGTTGTAAAATGCGCTCGATGTTCTAAGGTCGGGCGTATTTTGTCCGGAACCTGCTATCAGATGGGCTAGCGGCAAGAGTCTGGCATTCGTGATTTGTCTGCTCAGATTCAGGAAGACGCGAAGGGGGGTTTGACTGTGCGGGGCTTGACTATGCGTCAATGCAGCAACTTGGAGGATGCATTGAACAGCTATTTCTGGGGTGCAAATTTGAGGTCAGTTTCATCCCATGGCATAAACCCTTGCAGCAGCAGAAGCCACTGCATCTTCACCGTGTACGTGCACTGCAAGAACAACGCTGGCGGAGGAGAGGGCGTGAAAAGTAGCAAAATTCATTTTGTAGATCTTGCCGGCTGTGAGCGACCCAAAAAAACACAAGGTGATGGGCCCCTGCTTAAAGGGACGGCATTTATCAACAAAAGCCTATCTTTCCTGGAAATGGTGAGGACAACGGCAGACAGGTACTGACAAAGTAAATCACTTCCTGCTACGGCATGAGAGCTCGCAGCTGGGCGCTTGCCAAATAAAGTTGAAGGCTGACGGCCTTGCGATCAGGCGTTAGGTTCCTGTGTAGGTGGTCGTCGCTTTGGGTGAGAAAGGCAGGGACCATATACCTTATCGTTCCAGTCGTCTAACGCACTTGCTGAAGGACACTCTTGGCGGTACGAAAGTCAGGCTTGAAACTTGGGGTGCACGGTCTAGGCAGTTGTCTTTTTCGTTTCCTGC